ATGTCCACGTCGTTCAAGTACAATAAAATTATTCATTCCATGTTGTTTTAATTTAATTGCTGTACCAAGACCAGAAAAACCTGTACCAATTATAATTATATAGTATTCACCATCTTTTTGATCGTTTATAGATTTGAATTTTCGTTTAGCTCGTTTTTCATGACGACCAAATGAATCAAATATAAGCCAATATAAAAATTGACTAATCAATCCGATTACTACTGATATGATTGTTAGTAAATAACTACATATGACGAATAGTAACAATCGTAGTATAGACGCTGGTGTTTGTTCCATTACAAAAAAAAACAAGACAAGATATGTAATTGTGCTTCATAGATAAGGAGTATTTTATACGACAGAGAACGATGATATAGCATATGCTTATCTTTATTTGATTTTCACTTTTGCTTCTTATTGTTTCGTTCTATGTTATTTGGTTTCAAATGACTTTTGCTCTTTCTTGATAAAAGAACACGAGTTTCTTTATAATAAGAGTTTTAGAAATCAAGCAATTTAATAGGTATTTTTTGTTACATGTTTAGCTCTGTGGATCAACTATTGTTAGCTTTCTGATCAACATATGACGTGGAGGTTTCTTATGTAAAAAAATTCTCTCATGTTTGTTTAGTTTTCATGGTAAATCTAATCTTTGCATACGCTACATTAGATGCTTCGTGTCGAAGATGTTGTTTCCTCTATAAGCGAAACCTAGTTGTAATACAAACGACGATGAACATGACGAGGATCATCTGATGTATTAATTAGTACATCTCGTTCATGAACAATAGATGATATCAATTCATCATTGTCGTTGCTGACGGTAACATAGAGAAAGTCTAAAACTGTAATTTCCAAAAATTTGACTACCATTTTTGTGCATGCTGACCTCATTGCTCCATCATGGTATTAAAATTAACAAAAAGTGTCGTTAGTTTTAGATGAACATCGGCAACGGATTTATCTAATATCCGAAACAATGGCAAGGCACAATGGTGTGAGAAAAATGATATTTGATCTTATGTGATAAGAATTTTCTTCAAAGACAAAATAAATTTCACCGAGTACCTCTCAAATATCATATCGAATTCTCGATAAAATTCCATGATTTTGCGTGAAAGTAATTCTCAGTTTGTCCGCTGTTCTTATCATTTATATGATTGATAGATAAGCATAATACGATTAAGGATATCTTTCTCATCGTGTATGTTGAATTATTTCGTTAGTCATGCGTTGGTTAACTCTCTTTCTCTTGTTGTCTGCTTCTTCAGAGGACAACAAAGAAATTTCGGGAAGGTAACGATTCGTAACGGTTGGTTACGAAAGTCCAGTAAGAAGCAGGGCTTTCGTAACAATGTAAAATGCATAAATCATAAAAAGCAGGGTTTTCGTATCGATTTTCGACAGGGCTTTCGTATCGTTTTAGACAGGGGTTTCGTATCATTTTTTAAAGAGCTTTCCTATCAAGTTTACAGGGCCTTCGTAACAATTTTGATAGGGTCTTCGTATCGGTCTTACAGGATCTTCGTACCGTTCTTACAGGGCTATCGTAACGTAAAAGGATTTGGTATGATCTTTAGTCAGATGTTGCTGACAGGATTTCATATTGAAATTAGGGATCTACCAAAATTATAACATAAATAGTTCAAAAGTAGAAAGTGAGAACCAGCATATAAGTATAGACAAATTTTTATCTTCTTGTAAATCTCTTTCTTAGTAACAACAAAAAGTAACAAAAACCAGGCAATACATAAAGAGAGAAGAGTGAACGAGAACAATATCCAGATAATAGAATTAAGAATACACATAATTGATTTCCTCGATTTTAAGTCAACAACTTTCACAAAAAAAGGCGTACACAATTCTGGAAAAACATAGAGAACTAGAAATAACAACGACATCTATGAATGTATACAAATAATTCATTCACAGTATAGCACCATGTATTTGGACCATTTAAGTATATAAAACTTGTTACGAATGGATCCCACTTAATGACTTAAGCTATATTTGTAAGCATGGGTATTCGTAACGAATGCCCTGTTCTTTTTAGTGCCAGTCTTTCATTTTAGTTATGAATGCAATAAGAACTTGATTACGAAAGCCCTGTCAAAAACGATACGAAAGCCCTGTATAAGTTTGATACAAAAGCCCTGTCAAAATTTGATACGAAAGCCTTGTCAGAATTTGTTACGAAAGCCCTGTCAAAATTCGTTACGAAAGCCCTGTAAGTTTCTCGTTACGAATCGTTACACCCCCGAAATTTCAAGGTAAAAAAAATTTTTTGATCGTATGATATTGTCATAGAATAAATTTGCAATAGATTTTCTTTCAGTATTCTATTGGAAAATCTTGCATTGTATGAGCGTATGGATAAGGATGTGGCAGTGAATAAGAGCAGGGATCTCAGTATGAGTACGGTTCTTCTCTGCAGTCATAATCACACTCAACTGATATCCACCAACTACTAATTTTCATAGATAGATATTCATGTATATAGTTGTTTATTTCTAAATACTTCGTTAATCTTATTATTCTGAAGACTAGATATGCATTAGTTATAAAAATTATTGTGTCTAACTTGTTAGATTATAATCTTTTCGATTGAAGCAGCGCAAAAACTATTGAAAAAAACAGATCCTTTAGGTACACCCTCCATATAGAAAAAAATTAGTGATCTACTTGTTTGCCCCCCTCTGCTTCAGCATTGTGTAGGAGGTCGTGCCAAATCTCAAATTATTACCAATTTTCACTAAATCTCTGATCGCTGATATCTGATTTTGGTCAAGATATCAGATATTTACTCCTATACAGAATGCAGATTCGTCAGCAGAAAGCAGATATCAGATATTTATTCACACCGTACAGTTTTAAAACTACCAGAAAAGCAGATATCAGATATTTACTCATACCATAGATTTTTGAAATCGTCAGCAAAGCAGATATCAGATATTTACTTACACCATACATTTCTAAGCGACTACCAGGAGAGCAGATATCAGATATTTACTCACGCCGTACAGTTTTAAAATTACCAGAAAAGCAGATATCAGATATTTACTCACACAATACATTTTTCAAATCTTCAGAAAAGCAGATATCAGATATTTACTTACACTATACATTCCGCGATGAGTCCCTTCGCGGTACCCACAGCAGCTACAATGTGATGTGTGTCGTAGTATGACAAGCCCATTCGAGGCCATTCCTTTTGTGGCCAGTCCTTTCGCGTCACCCACAGCAGCTGCCATGTGATGTGTGTGGTAGTATGGCCAGCTCTTTTATGGCCAGTCCTTTCGCGGCACCCACAGCAGCTGCGATGTGATGTGTGTCGTAGTGTGGCCAGTCCTTTCGCGACACCCACAGCAGCTACGATGTGATGTGTGTCATAGTGTGACAAGCCCATCGAGGCCACTCCTTTTGTGGCCAGTCCTTTCGCGGCACCCACAGCAGCTACCATGTGATGTGTATCGTAGTGTGGCCAGTCCATTCATGGCCAGCCCTTTTGTGGCCAGTTCTTTCACGGCACCCACAGCAGCTGCGAGGGTGTGAGTGTGGAGTGTGGGTGTGGATGCGGGTGCACTTCTTCTGTTAACACACACCGCCCACACCCACATTCACACACCCAAATATCTAATATCTGCTCTTCTGGTAGTTGCTCAGAAAAGTATAGTGTGAGTAAATATCTGATATCTGCTTGTCTGACGA